AATCACCAGACCCAGGCCTGTGGTACCTGAGGCTCACTCTGTCCTAAAGGATACAGGAGAAAGATTTATGCATCCCCACAGTGCCAGTCTCTAGTCAGGCCCTCAAAAAACCTGGACTAAATAAGATAAAAGAGTCTCCAGTAGTCACCAAACTTTGAGATTTGAAACTTTTCTATTAGAAATCAGAACCCAGAAACTAGGAGCTGGCATTAATTTTGTGTATCGGGGAGGACATCTTTCTTTCCTACAATCATGGTTCTAGTTTTCAATGTAGAGGAGCTTAGGAGCTGTAGGCTGATGCCTAAGTCATAGTCTGCTTGTTTCCTCCCCTCTCCTCACTGATATTTTTTAACCACAAAGAAAACCCTCAAGTTTGCCTCCAACATAAAGGAGTGGAAAACAGTATGGTTGTCTCTGAAAAAATTAAAAACAGAATTGTTACATAACTCAGCTATTCTAGATCTGGGCATAGATTCAAAATATTTGAAAGTAGAGTTGCAAAGTGATATTTTTATACGCATTTTCATAGCAACATTCTTCCCAATAGCTTAAATGTGCAAGTAACCCAATTGCCCATCAAAAGATGAATGGATAAGCAAAATGTGACATATGCATGCAATGATATATTGTTCAACCTTAAAAAGGAAGAGAATTCTGACCCATGCTGCATCATTTATGCTGCCTGAGGATATTGTACTATGAAGTAAGGGACAGAGGCAGGTCAAACAGCACAGACTGTATGATTGTACTTTTATCAGGTACTTAGGGGAGTCAGATCACAGAGACACGGTGTAGAATAGTGGTTGTCAGAGCACGGAGGAGAAAAGAAGGGGGAGTTACTGGTAAAGGCACGAGGTTCCAGACCCAAAGATGAATGATTATTCCAAGGTGCCAGACGAAAAGAAAATGGAGTCCTGGTTCTCTGTGCAATCAAGTGGCATTTATTCCACCTGGGTGCAGGTAGGGTGAAATTCCTCACAGGGAAAAAAAACACATGTGGGTTATGGCGGATGGAAATTTTAAAGGATGAGAGATGCAGGGATTGGTCCACTCACTATTTCCTAGGAGGGACATACACTCAGTCCTTCTCGGGTCAGTTCTATCTGGGCAGGTGGATGAGAAAGGGCCAGAGAAGTAGAGATTGGTCCATTCACTATTTCCAGGGAGGGATATGTACTCTATCCTTCCTGCGTGCGCTAGTTCTACCTGGGCAGGTCAGTAATCTGATGCTATCAAAAGGTACAGAGGTTCACTTTTATTTTTATTTATTTTTTTGAGGGAGGACAGTGTCTTACTATGTCACTCTTGGTAAAGTGCTGTGGCATCACAGCTCACAGCAACCTCCAACTCTTGGGCTTAAGTGAATCTCTTGCCTTAGCCTCCCAATTAGCTGGGACTACAGGTGCCCGCCATAATACCCAGCTATTTTTTGGTTGTAGTTATCATTGTTGTTTGGTGGAGCCAGGCTGGGTTCTAACCTGCCAGCCCTGGTGTATGTGGCTGGCGCCCTAACCACTGAGCTACAGGTGCCAAGATGAGGTTCACTTTTAAACAATAAAAAGAACCATGGAACTTGAGGCTGGTGAAGGTTGCACAACATCAGGAACTACACATGTAAAGTAAGCTATGATGGTATTTTCTGCATATTTTATCACAATAAGAAATAAATAGAAAATAAAACACAGAAAAGGAGGAAAGAATTAGGTGATTATCACTTCCTGTTCCTCACAAACACTCCATACTGTTCTTTATGACGGCTCTCCCGCCAAAGCTCGTCTGTGGGGGGCAGGAGAGTCAATCTGTGCTCCAGGACTTAGAAGTATGACTTAGGCAACAAATTTCCTATCAACCAGGGTTCTACACAACTGCTCCCCCTACGCAGTCCCACCAGTACTTTTTCTTCTTTTCCAAACCACTCAAGTACAGATTAAGTTTAACTCTAGCTAATTTCATACAAGATGTTAGGCTTTTATGTTAACTCACTAATTTAATCTTCTGATACAATTTGCTCTTAGAAGTAATGTTACTACCTAGTTCCTGTTGTCCTTTTAGAACTGCTCTCCATCCCATACACAAGGGGCCAGAAGAGTATAAAAATGCAAGAGCTGGTGACTTCTAATTCAAGTTACAGTACATTTAGATGAGGTTTTGAGGGTGGTGCTTTCATAATGGGTTTAGTAACCTTAAAAAAGAAGAAGCAGTGACATCACGGGGTTTTCTCCCTCCTCCTTTCTTTGCTATGGGGGAATACAGCTACAAAGCTGCCCATCTGCAAGACAGGAACCCAGCCCTCAGAGGAACTGAATCAGTTGGCACTTTGATCTTGGACAGATTCTTGCACTTGGGAAGACTCTGTAGTAGCTTGCAATACCTGAGTCTGATCCCCTGAGGGCACAGTCAGTCTCAAAGCCACTTCAGTGACTCACCTAGCTGTTGCTTCCCATCCTACTAGTAAACACAGCTCCTCAAGGCCCCTTGGAATTCAACCGCGAGCTCTGAGCTAAAAAGCCCTGTCCCCTTTCTTTCCCAGACCCATCTTTACAGATGCCAATTCTAATTTCCCCACACAAAATCAATTCCATAAGTGGAGAATAAGAGAAAGGCTTTAATCATCATATACAATTTCAATAAGAACCGTGAGAATTCTAAGTAGAAACAAAAGAAAAGTTTCTTAACATTAATTAATTACATGGAGAGTTTTTCTAATTGAAAAAACTTGAAGTCATGCAGGAAAGGAGGAACAAAATGCAATGATCTCCACAGCAGACCTCAGGCAAGGCATAAGTCTGGTGTAAAAGTTCCCAGACACGGTATGAGGCCCTCCCTGGGGTGTCTCGGGCTCCTTCCAGGGCATCAGTTGAAGTGGGCCGTGCTATGGGTAGCAGGCAGGGCTGGGTTTCCTCTCCTGTCCAGGTTCCTCTGTACTTCAAACCTTGGTTTTTAGCAGCTTCCAGGGACAGCCTGGGCTCCAGGAGGCGAGCTGGGCGTGTCTGGTCACCTCCGCCAGTGCTGGCTTGTCCTGGCTGGTTCAGGCCCCATTGGATCCAGCTCTCGGAATCTCCCTCATATGAAGGGAAATGTGGGTCCCCTGTGGTTTTAGCCATGGGCTCCAGGGTGTGCGGTTCTCCATGGCGTTTCTGGCCATTCTCAGCTCCCAGGGCTTCTCTGAGCCCCGTGTCAGCCCAGTGCAGAGCCCTGGGGCTCTGCGTTCACATACCCACAATGTTGGGGGCACTGGCAGGAGGGGCTGCTCAGGGCCTCAAAGTTATCGCCATGCTCTCGGTTCAGGTCCCGCGGCATCAGGGTCCCGGGACATGCCCAACTCCAGGATGGCTCTTCTAAGGCTGATGGATGGAGCTCCATAGCTTTAGCCTCTGGAGGCTTAACCAGGCCCAGCTGAGCAACTGGGCTAGGAAAGCGCTAGTAACTTTACTGACTGTGTTTTCTTGTTTGTTTTCTTTTTTACTGACTGCGTTTTTTTGTTTTCTTTTTTACTGACAGCGGTTTTTATAGCCAGCTGGTCTGTTAGGAACAGGAAGTTGGATCCCAAACCCAATCACACGGGGAGGAAGTTGGATCCCAAACCCAATCACATGGGGAGGAAGTTGGATCCCAAACCCAATCACATGGGGAGGAAGTTGGATCCCAAACCCAATC